TAATGCATTTAAGTGTAAAATAATTTAAACTGTTGTTTTCATTACTGCTTTAAAGTGGACCTATCATGCTATATTTGAATAACATATTGTTGGGACATACCTATATAAAACATGTCTGCAAAGTTTTTTTTTCAAAATACCAAACAGACCATGCATTTTAGCCATGCCTCATTTAGCTCTATTTGCTCTTTTTTTAGCCCTGTTTTTGTAAGGCCTGAATCTGTGAGAAGTCTTCTTCGCTGCTTTTGTGGCAGACTACAGCGCCACCTACAGGCCTGGCATATGTACTACAGCGTCTCCAGCGCTTTCGAACGGCAATGGCCGTGGCTGTTGCCCATATAGACGGAGCTCCTCGTTTCTGACATCAGAGATATTTCAAATCTGCATCAGATCCGTTGCAGCCCCGTTTTGGGTATGGAGGAAAATAGAGAGGGTTGTGTTTTCTGACACTTGGTGAGTTCCCTGACACACCGGGGACACATATTCATGTATAAAAGACGTACAACAGTGCATTTTGCATGATAGGTCCGCTTTAATCTTAACTTACAATTGTAGGAAAAAATAACCCTTGCTAGCTACATTTTTATGACTTCAATTTGAAATGAACGCTAATTTCAGGCCCTATGCGTTTGACTTTCTTGACATTGGCGGCCTCCAATGGAGCTTGGGTAATGAGGCTTGAAAGATTAGGCAATCTCCATTCAGGTGCTTTCATGTTCTGACACGGATCACTGTCCTCCTGCAGGAGTTTCATTCATGGTGCTGGACCCTTTAGTTGGGACAGCTGCAGGAGAGGCGAAGTGATGGGAAGCCGGTCTGTGCTTGCCTTTAATTCTGCTCACAGCCAGGTAGAGAGCCCCGGGCCTTTAACTTGATCCTGACTGCAGAGATTGCGTTAGTTTGGCAGGGCGCATGTTCTGTTGTAATCTTCATCAGGCTTGGCCATACCTTGGGTCATGCTCATTAGTCAATCATATCTTCCTTAGAATTTGAGTCAAGTACCTCAGGGGGAGATGATAGAGATAATTTGTTGACCCGTTCATAGCAAGCATGAGTCAAAACAACCCCACCTACGCGATTTCCCTTTACTTTCCCTACTGCTAGTCAAAGCTTCCCTGTTTTTTGTCCTACCTGTATGTATCCAAACGTAGGTTATTTCCACTCATGCGATGTATAACCCGCAGTGACTGTTGCCATAGAAACCCCCGCAGCCTTTTCTCCATCATCAGCAGTGAAGTAAAGAATCCAGCTGACAGTTTGATGTTGGCCGAGCAGTCAGTCACTCCTCTCAGACGGACAGTAGATGAGTGTCCTCTCATCCTTCATGGTCTGTACACTCAGCTGCATTACTCATACATTACGAATCTGGCATTCAAATGTCTCTTGCTTAACAGCTTTATCAATAGAGATTAGTAGTGAATCCTTTTGGGGTTTAGTAATGTATGTGTGTAATGAGTATGTTGTTTTTGGTTTGGGCTGGTCAGTAAAGGAGTACTTTTTGCGTATGTTTCTTTTTTTTATTCTGCATTGATTTGACAGCGCTTTAGACTTGGAGGGACGTATTTCCGGTAAACAAAACAGAGAACTTTGGTTGGTCTTTTTCTCGTTATAAAAAACCTGTTTAATTATCCTTTGCTCGATTCTCGATGAAAGTGCATTCCCCTGATGTTGTTCTTATGTGCAAAAGAAATCCACTGAAGTCACACAGCAGGAGATCACATTAAAGGATCCTGCATTTTAATTGAATATACATCATCACACCACGTTTCCCTATGGTCCTGAGTCTACAGTGTGAATCTTTTTTTTTCTTAGGCTCAATTTTGATCATCCGAGAACATAAAAAAATGTAATGACCAAATTCATCTTATGCAACATATTCGTCTTTACACCTGGCCTCTATATGACATTTTTGAGGGGGTGTGTAAATACTATAAAGACTTAGTATTATGTATAACTATTTTAAACGTCCAGTGATTCTCTACTTTTCCATTTGCCCAACAATATCAACAATAGTCCCCAAACCCCCATACTATTCAATTTCCAATAATAGGGAAAAAGAGAAGCTGCTACTCCCAACATTAAAGCAGCTTGAATCAGCAAATGTTTAGCATTAATTGACATAAATACATCCGTCTTTATGTGGGCGTGTCCCCTCTTGAATCCTTCGCTCCACGTGTCTCACTCTGCCGTCACCAGCCGCTTCACGGGGCGCTGACAGCAGGCGGGATCTCACCTTGAGGCGGGACGGAGCCTCCTGAGTGACAGCTCTGCTGCTGCAGGATCCTCTCGACCTCTCTAAGTGTCGACACCAGAGGCACTCTATCTGGTCGTGTGCTGGGTGGAGGGGGGGGATTTAGTGCTGCTGGTAATGTAGGAAAGAATTGTAGCGCCTCAGGATATGCCGGCGCTTCACACTCAGGCAGAGATGGAGTGGGGACAGAAGAGTTGTGGAGGGCACCATCAGATCATGAACATCCGTCTTCCTCTGCCTCCACACATCTTCCTTTCTCTTTCTCACGTGCACACACACACTGGCTTCATACAGCTGCATTTTTTTTAACTGCCATGATTGTTTTATGGCTGATCAAAAGTCAGATTGTTGCAACATTCAGTGTTATCTGCCCCGGGATGACACTTTATCATCTTCCCTGGTGAACTCTGACATGATCTACAGCGCCTATCCCTGATACAGAGCGCCTTTAAAGGGATCTGGTTTTTTTTTCAATGTACCATATCTGAATCACTCAAATATCATGATGTGGATTGTTGGCGGTCATTTCTAATGGAAGGATTGCAAATGCGCTGCTCAAAAGTTGCAGTATTGGCTGTCTGTTGTTGTGTCACTGCCTTGTGTATTTGTCAAGCTGACTGCTAGGCTTTCACCCCCAGGGAAAGGTGGGGGAATGTAGGCAGCTCTGAGAGAGGGTGACTTCGGGTGGGGGGAGGGGAGAGCAGAGCCAGTGACCTCTCTATACTCACTCGCTCCTACACAACTCCCCAGGGCCTGACAGTGTGTTGGCTTGTGTGTGGCGCTCAGTCTTTCTGTCTTGAAGACTCAATCAGTAATTTGTTGACCATGTAAATACCAAGCACATGTGTCATTCAGAGAAACAGGATTTTTCCTATATAATCAGTGAGGAAGCGATAAGTAGATAGATAAACAGCTGTATGGAGCCGAGCTAACCTTTTTATTCTTTTCCTTTTTTTCTAGGAGCGGGAGCAGAAGCAGAAGCTACTCGACCCTGCCCCAGTTCGCATATCACAACGGTTCTCTGAACACAACAACCAAGAGGAGGAGGTGCGTGTTTTTCTGTCTACTTGTGTCCATGTTTTTAATAACATGACTGACCGTAAGTACGCTTTTGCAGCAGCTGTGTTTCTGGAAAGACACTCAGACTTTATTATTTATTTAACTAATACTTCTTTCCACTAAATGTTTTGCCCTTTCCTTTTTATATTGATATACAATAGAGTGGTGCAGCGATGCATGCTTTTGTAGGCAGACCCAGACGTTAACAGGACAAGGGCTCCCTCAACAGAAAGCAAATGGAATTCTTTCCTTGGATTTTGAATATGGCAGAGAATAAGTTCTGAAGCACACACACATTTATGATACTTTCATGTTTTGTTCAGCAGGATAATCTCTACATTAACACCACTTTACTAATAGTTGTAGCGTAAATGAAATCGCCAAAAGCTATAATGGAACTTGTGGTGGCTCAATCCCCAGTTACGTTTGAGTCGCCGAGAGGCTAAACTTGGCTATAAACTGTGTCGCGTTTTCGAAGAGAAAGTCCATATTGAAGCAAGATAGTTTTAGGATATTTAATAAACAAAATCATAACATAGTAACTATGGACAAAACGGTCCACATAAAAAATGACAGCACAAGCTCACCCTCTGTCATCCGCACTCGACATCAAACAGGTGACTTATATAACCAAAGCACACCCATGTGACAATTACCGGAAGTGCTCAACAAACAAATAAAAGTGACGTAAACAAATAATAATAATAATAATAATACAAATAATGAACTTAGGCTAAGTAGCGTTATGGCACCTACAGAACTACATGACGTTTGCATGACTTCACGTTATCACTGCTATCAGCCGACTTGTGGCCTGATTACGTTTAGTTGTAATAATTTTGTCATTTATTATTATTATTAACCACAGTTTTAAGACACTAAAAACCTTCAAACCTAAACCAGTTTTTATTTAGTAACATATTTTATGTTGTAGAATAAATCATGGAACTCTCGTATGTGTATTGACCACAGAGCTTATTTTCAAATCTATCAAGAAACGAAGAAAAAACATTGAGTTTGAGATGAGGGATTGCTAAAATGCTAACTTAATTCCAGGTTGAGGACTATTTCCTGCAACTATATGTTTGTTCATATCAGTCGTTTGGGGTCTGTTTGCTTCCTTTTTTCTGGTGTTTGGAAATGTGATCAAGTTAAAGGTATCCACCTTTTATCATCCACATATTCTTTACAAACTATCCTTTATTGACTCCAGATGAGACTAATGGGCTTGTGTGTATGTTTTGTTTCCAGGACAACCTGCCTTTATCAGAGGACGACAAGAAGAAATACGAAGAGCTGGACAGGCAGGTCCTGCTGGCCGAGCAGCGGAGGGAAGAGGAGAGACTTCAGCAGGAAGACCAACAGAGAGAGAAGCAGGAGAAGATCAAAGCTGTGGAGGGTAAGATGGATGGCTACTAAGATGGATGAAAAGATGTACCACTTGTGTTTGTCCTAAAACGTCCCACTTGATCAGATCTTAATTATATTTCTGTGGCACTGCAGGAAGCCCACGTGCTTATACATCTGCTTGTATTTGCAGAAGGGTTAGAAAATAAAAGCAAAGTGCCAAAAGTCAAATATGAAGGAGCATCAATAATTTCACATTCTTTCATCAGCGACCTGTCAGCAGCAGGTAGGGGGCTTTCACACTCTTCTATCAACTCTGGGATCAAGGGCAGAATGGATTGCGAAGGGCACGCCACACACACACACACACACACACACACACACACACACACACACACACACACACACACACACACACACACACACACACACACACACACACACACCTCCGTCGCTGTGGTGTGGCTAGTAACGGCTTTCAAATCTGCAGTAGCGAAGCAGCGTTCGACAAAGCATTGTGATTTATGTATAGTACACAGAGACTGTGAGAGGGAATGTTCAGGGTCTTTAATCACAGGATCACTTCTCTTTTTCTCCCCCCTCTGATGTCATATGTCAAGGGTTAATGAACTGCTGATTGTGCTTCAGTGGAGGAGCCTCATTAATGTATTATAGATGAACAGCAGGACCTTGCCCGCTCTGTGTGTGGAACCCTCCCTCAAACCTTTATAATTCACGCGCCGGGGAGGGGGGGGGGGGGGGCCGAGCAGGCCTCTCATGGAAAAAAGAAAACGCAGCGATACATATGCACTCGCTCTTCTATGTCCTGCTCTTTTGATCAACTGTGCCTAAGAAAAGATGGCTGAGGAAAATGGTCTCTTTCTACTTATCTCCAACCCTGTATCTGAAGGCCGGGGAATGGTTTTCATTGACTCTGTAGCAACTGTTACTCAAAAGCAATTAAAACATTGTTTGCCCTTCAGCCTCCTGAGACTTTTGATGTTGTTGTTTTGTTTCTAATTGCCCCATGTGTTCTTCCTTCATTCTCAGAGCGAGCAAAGAGGCGGAAGATGCGCGAAGACAGAGCCTGGTTACTGTCTGAAGGAAAGGACCTGCCGCCTGAACTGCTCAATCTGGAGCCTTCCTCTCCTGTCCACAGAACACGCCGGAATAAAGCATTGTAAGTGGCTTTGTACATGTCTCTTCAGATTCCATGTTCTACTTGAATTGTGATTAACGTGTTGTATGTTTGTCGTTCCAGCTATGAAATCGACGACGACTACACAGATTTATACAAAGGTATGCCGACAGAGCAGTTAGTCGAGGCGGTTGCTTTTATCTTTGTTAATGTTTGATTTAATGTGCGATCTGATCCAATCTCTATTCTGCAGTGCTTGAGGTCTTGAAAGCTCATAAAGACGCGTGGCCTTTCTTGGAGCCTGTGGATGAATCCTATGCCCCCAACTACCATGAGCTCATCCAGGTACTAAATACTATACAATGGCACGTGACAGTAGTAGGTTATACATTTGTGTGGTTCACAGCTAAATCAGAATCTGGTTTTTTGGGGGTTTTTTTGCCAAGAGAGTGATCAGCACAGTTACATAACACAAATTAAAAACAATCACAGTTAACATATGACTATTTTAACACATTTAAAATAAAGACAATATTTTCACAAAATATACATTTGCAAATATACATATACCATTGTGTTCAACCACATATGTAGAACCACTTCTTACTGTTTATTCGTCTTTTGATCTCCTCAGACACCCATGGACCTGTCCACCATTGAAAAGAAGCTGAATGACGGGGATTATGTTTCTAAGGAGGAGTTTGCTGCCGACGTGAAGCTCATGTTCGAGAACTGCGTAGAGTACAATGGAGATGACAGCGGTAAATAAAGACAAACACAAAACTTCATCCATCAAAAATGTTTCCTCTGTTTCAAAAACGTATGCATACAAATCAGTTTCATTTGGTGTGTTGTAAGAAAGATGTGCATATTTAGAATTTTGGGGCAAGAGTCAGGGGGTGACAGTGGAACAGGGGGCAAAAGAAAGGGGGCCAGACTTAGTGCTGCGTTGGGGCCGGGGCCAGGGCAGCCATGACAGTGATTAATGAGGAGTGATTGAGCTGTGCTCCAGTGCTCAGGGGGATCTGAGCCCAGCAGTGCCACAGAGACATTCCAGCCCCTAAGCCCCCTGTCTGGAGCCATCCATCCAACTGAATACTCTCCCCGGGGACAGGGGGAGGAGAGGAGAGCGAGGGGGCCCAGGGTGGAGCAGGAGGAGTAGAGGGAAGGAGTTGGAGGAGCAGGGGTCAACTTACGCCCTTTGACTTGGTCAGTCGGCCACGCTGGGCCCAGAACAGAGGAGCAAGTGTGGCTCTATGGATACATGGCGTGCATATCGGTCGGTGGTGTTTGAGTGTAAAGGAATGACTGTGAGGTGGGAGTGTGTAGTATGTGAAAGGGGGGGAGTGACTTGAAGATAAAAAGCTTTAAATGTCCATCAATGGATTTGCAAAAGGTATGTGCTTTCATGTGTGGCTGTGTTTACAAGGTTGCTAAGAAAGAGCTTTTATGTATTTTCATCATATAACAAAGCCGATGTTTATGTCTGTTTTTCCCCAGAGTACAGTATCATGGCGGAGTCTCTGGGACGGTGTTTTAGCCGGGCCTTATTAAAACACTTTCCCTCAGAGGATGGCGACACGGACGAGGAATTCCACATCAGCAGTGAAGACAAGGAGCGCAAAGACAAAAAGCGTAACCGCGGCAGCAGTAGACATTCGGGACCTGAGAGTCTGATCAGGGCCACAGAGCATGTCCAACGCAAGAGAACCGCCCAAGGGGGCAAGGGCAGCACCCTCTCTGAAGAAGAGGAGAGCAAACGACCACGACCAGCTCCTCCCCTACGCTGGGTCAATGGCCCCCTGCACCCCCACAGCCTGCCTCCAGGCCAGCAACACCACATGCATCAAGGGGGCATGTACCACCCAGGGCAACAGGTATCCACAGGATCACTTTTTATTTTTAAGTTTCTCTTTACTTTTCTAAAAATGATTTATCACTTATTAAACACAATGCTTTAAGGGTTCTATTATGCTCATTTTAGATTTCACATGCTTTAATGTTCGAAAAGGGCTTTATTTGTTCTCATACTGCCTTTCTCACGAGAGCCCAGTCTGCTCTGATTGGTTTGCTGGCCTTCGTTTGCGGTCAACCACGAGATTTCTTCCTCTAAGACAATAAAAGCATAATAGGGCCCCTTTAACTAGTTATACAAAATACACTGTTTTTGATTATTTTATGAAATGTATTAAAAAAAAAAGCTTAAATTGTGAATCCTCTCTCTTATCTTACCAGCTTCATCGGCCCCCCGGTCCCCCTGGTCCTCATGGCCCACACATGTATGGCCAAAGAATGGCCATGGACCCCCGCTTCGCTTACCCAGCTCACATTCCTCGGCATGGAGACCCCAGTTTAAACCACATGCCCCACAACTTTAACATGCAGGTATGAGCCAAATGTACCTTTTCCAAATGTAATTATAACGGTATTTAAGTTTCAGTTTATAACCAAAGGACCACCTTTTACTGTGTGGTCTAATACTACACTGATGTGCAGTTATGCTGACGCCTAATTTGATTTTTCTCTTAGCATCGCATGGTAGATGGACATCACATGGGCCCCAGGTATCCAATGGGTTCAGATCCTAACCAGCAGCAGCCCTCTCACCAGCAGCAGCACCGCTACATGGGCCCCACCCACGGACCCTCTCTGGGCCCCCGTCCCGTCGGCCTCCATCCTGGCCCTCCTCCTGAGGCCAGCATGTATCCATCCCATCATCGTCCGGAGGGCCACTGCATGCACCCTATGGCTAACAGATTCCCAGGGCCGGAAGGACCACATCAGCACAACTACCCAGGCATGAGACCCCCCAGTATGGGCATGGCCAACATGTGGACTGGTATGAATCACCAGGACAGACCCAGCGGGATGCGCATGCAGGACCCCAACATGGTGAACCAGCACAGCTTCGGTTACGGTGGGGTCCCCCCTCCAGTGGGACATAAACCCTGGCCAGAAGCGGCTGGATACCCCCACCCTCCTCCCAATGCCCAGTATCAAATGTCTGCAGCGGTCAGCTCCCAGGGGCCCATGTCCTCTCACCCCCCTGTTCCCCACCCAGACTCCTCTGGCAGGACACGCTTGGCCTCCATGTTGGAGAGCCCTGAGATGCTGGCCCTGCAGCAGCTGTCCGCCTCTTCCAGACCCCCTGCCGGTGCCCCTCATCAGCACATGGGCAACTTTCAGCAGCCCGGGCCCCCATCAGGAATTGGCAGCAACCCAGCTCACCCCTCTCAGCAGCCCCCCCCTGCCCCTGAGGTTCAGCTGCTGCATCCCGCCAGAGACAATGGGCCAGACAGCCGGCCCTCCCAGCAGACAGACTCGCTGCCCAAAGGTAGACCCGACCTTCTCTCAGTGTTCCGCTGTATTCTGCATGAAGGAGTCTAACCTTTCTCTCCACTCTCTTGTTCTTTCTCGACTGCAGTGTTTCACATTTGTTAATCAGCACACCCCCATCCTTTTCCTTTCCTCTGTGTGTTTTTTGCAATTTGATTTTAATTATTTTTCACAGTAAGTGGCAAATTGAATATTCATTAGTTTGGTGACATTTCCTGCTGGTTGAGCTGAGGCTACAAAAGAGATGGCATGTCGTTAGTTAGGCTTCACTAGCTTTGTGTTCTCACGAGAATAGATTAGGGCATTTAAATGGAGAGTGACACGAATCTATTTGATATTTTGTGTAAAAAGTAGTGCAACTGTACAACCTCTTTATTGTGATAATAGGTATACAATTGTATACGTAACCTCCTTTTCCTTGTTTATTAATGCTTTAAAACTTTTTCTTTCATTATTCTGTGTGTTCACAGACTCAACATCAGAGGAACAAACAGCCGCCAACAACATTTCTGCTGAAGCTCCATCACACCAAAACACTGTTTCAACTAACCAGGAGCATCCGTCCATCCGAAGCCCCTCAGAACATCACATTGGGCCCTCAGAAAGACTTCAGAGCCCCCCAGCCTTGATCTCGGGCAGACCCCAGGAGAATCCTTCAGGACCCAGTCTCCCACAGATTTCAACAGGGAACCACAAGCAGGAGGCGGACCGCCAGAGACAATCTGCCAGCCACTCTCCCTCTCAACACACTACTGTTTCATCCCACCTCAACTCCACTGATCCTACTCACCCTAACCACCCAGCGCCCACACAGGAGGGTCCGCAGCAAAAAGCTCAGAGCCCCGCACTTCTTCACCAGAACGTACCGCCACTGCACGCTTCAGCGGGGCTGAACTCCACTCAGCAAATGTCAGAGAGCATCCTGCCCCACATGCAGAATGCACATCAGGAGGACACACTTCAGGCCCCACAGAGTACCCCTCCCCAGCAGATGATCCAGAGCACACAGCAATACAATCCCCCTCTTCACGCCCCCCAAAACGTCTCCCCGCAGCGCCCCGCACAGAGCAGCCCCATGCACGGGATGCCTCAGAACGCCACACAAGTAGCCCAGCCCGGACGCCCTCAGCCAGTCCCGCTCACCTCTCTGCCCCCCAGTCATCCTACCCCACTGTTACCATGCCAGCCCAGCCCTGCGGACCATGGAGATCAAAGACCTAGTGAGCCGACGAGCTGCCCGGCGGACACAGACGTTCCTCCGCAGCACATGATGAAATCTGGGCCTCCGAATGGGATTCACAAGCAGCAGGCTTTCAGCCCAAACCCCCACCAGACCCAGCAGAGAGGGCCCGCTCACAACCCTGCCATGCCCCCTCACTCCCAAGGTCAGGCAAATGGAGCCATGGGTGCATACAGCATGGGGGGCCATCCAAACTACAGCCAGACGAACATCAGCAGGTCCATGCCTCAGTCTGCTCACCACCCCTATCATAGCCAGGTTAACCCCCTCCACAACCCCTCTCAGCACCCCGTCTACCACCAGCAGGGAGGGGCTGCCTACTCCTACCACACAGCAGGCCAGCAGCACCCCCAGGCCCACCCCAACATGTACCCACAGCATCAGTACCAGCAGCAACACTACTACGCACAACCCCACCTCCAGGCTCAGGCTCATAACCAGGTGAACAGCAGGGGGGGTTACCCTGCAGAGGAGTGGCACCGGCATCAGTATCAGCCTCGCCACCCTATGCCCCCCAACGCCTACCTGCCTGCAGCTAGTGCCAGAGGTCACCTGAAGGAGAGCAGTATGTCCCCACTGGGCTCTGAGGGTCTGGTGTCCCCTGGCCCCGGGCCTGAGACGGGGCCGCAGCCTGGGGGCCCGGAGGAGAGGCGGTGTGTGAGCAGGGAGCAGGACGGGGGGGGCAGCCCGGCAAAGCAGGCTCACACAGAGGGGTCAGAGCGGCCTGAAAGCCCGAAAGAACTCCTGGACCTCGACAGCCACAACGCTGCCGCCCGCCGCCGCAGCGCCCAGCAGCACCCCCCCGCCTCCCACATGGTGTCCGGGTTCATGTACGACCCCCGCGCCGTGCACCCTGGGATGCAGCGAGGGGGCGTTCCTCCCCCACACATGATGTTTCAGTCTTCAGGCAATGGAGCACCATACCCCGGCCAACATTACGCCGATCCCGGGCGATATGCCGCCCAAAGACCCCACCCTCACCTGATGGAGGCTCTGCAGCGGCCCCAGCAGCTGCCCTTCTCCCCGGGGCAGACGCGCATGGCCATGTACGGACACCCCCGGCCTGCAGGGCACTTCCAGGGCATGATGATGCAGCAAAGAGGCCTGGCACCGGAACACTTCCTGCACCCTGGGTACAAAGATTGAAGTTTTATATGGTTTTTAATATTGTAATTCCCTCTCTATCTGTAATCTTATGCCGAAGTCAGTATTTTTTTTTATTGAGCTTAATATTTTTTAAACACTTCATTTGGTCTACTTCCCTTTAAAAACATCTTATTGATAATCATTTCCAACAAGCATTAGTCTTTCAAAATGGGATGGTGGACATTGTAGTAGAAGTTCACTCTGCGGCCTGGAAACAAAATTAAATTAGAACTTGTTTTTAAATATGCAAAAACTTGTGTGACCCAAACAAAGAAATCAACATTAGGCCTTAGTTAGGCAAGTACACTGGACATGCAGGTATCATGTGATTAGTTCTTCGGGCCACACACTGATGGATGAAGATAAATCTATTGGTTGACTGAGTTTAATTAACATTTGTTATAAAAACAATTTTATTAACATTCTTCTTTGTTTTGTCTTGTTTGTCATAGGCAACAGATGATGGCTGCTCCCGGTGGCCCTAGCAGTAAATAAGGAGCGTGACAAATAACAAATCAGAGTGAGTGAAAATAACTTTCATTAACCACTTTCTATATCTGACAGCTTCAAGCAACTTCCTTCTTCCTTCCCTCTTCCTTCTATTCATAAGAATATTATGGCAAAAAGTCTCGTATACAATTCCAAAGAGAGCCAAACAAAAAACATGATACCATGGCGATGTCAAGCCATGTTTGTGTTTTTTCAATGATTAACTTATTTGTTTTCATTCCCTTTCAGGCATGTCGTTATCAAAGAACATCTGGACAAAGCACTGAGCCAAGAGCAAGAACATGTGTGTGTGCTGATGGAGACTGTAGATGGGACTCTTCGCTCCACAGACTGATCATCTTTCAATGGACAGGAACTGTTGGCTCGGTTTTGGCCCATCACTGATCTTGGAAGATCCAACCAGGCAGCTGGTATCACTGCGATAATAATACTGTGAACTGGTATCGAGCCCTGTAAAAAAGACTCTTTTTGCTTGCCCTTCTTTAAGTAGAACTGACTTGACTGCTTGACATTCACCTAAGTGGTTTTGATCCAGGGCCCTCCATCAGAAGGGTGTTCTTTTTAACCACTTGGCCAATCTGTCCATGACAGCCCTGCGAGAACAGAGAACACTGGACAGCCCTCTCCTCTTTGAGAAATGGAACTTTAAATGGATTAAACGACACTGAGCACGATCATGTCCATTGACAGCAGGGCTTGATGAATCTTTTAACGATAACTAAGGAGGATTGTGGTGAAGATAAGATGGACTGCTGTTTTTAACGTTTCCTGTTCCAACTTTATCTTTAAACTCAGGTGTAGAAAAGGAGGTACTTTGAGACTGTCACCCTAACCCAGGCGACTCACAGGCCCCTTTGCAATTGCCTTGGTTTCCTTTGTGAATGTATGAGTGAATGTGTAGACAATGAGCTATGCAGACTAGCTGCAAGGACACAAACACGGATAAACCGTCCTGCAAAAAGGCCCAGATACTTTTCATTTCCGGTCCAAACCTTGCAGTGTTTCAGAGTAAACACGCTGTTTATGCATCTTCTCAAAGCTGCCTTCACTGTCAAGAATGTCTTTCGACTAGCAGAGTGGCAAGACGCCGCAATTTGTGTCCAACAATCTCTGTTGTGCACTATGGGTTTCGTCTGTCTCGACATCCTGGAATTGAGTGGCCTTTGATAGTTTTATTTGAATTCAAACACATATATGTATGAAAAATATATCCTTACCTCTTGTCCCAGATGGGGGCAGTTTTTCAATGATATGTCCTGCTGGCGGGTAACACTTACCCATCGAATCCTGCTGGAATTTTTTTTTTATTGTGACAATTGTTGCATTCCACCTTCACATTTGTACTTTGTCTCTTTATTCACTGGCCTTCCCTTTGCATGGTTGACTCTCTGAGTGCTTCCTCTTCCCCATGTCAATATAAATGTATCCTCAGGGTGAACAGTTTCTATATACGGGTATTTTTCTGCGTTATGTGAAGGAGGAGCAGCAACATGAAGACAAACGCAACTTGTTTAGGTCTGTTTAACAATATCTATGGCTAATCACACGGCCAAACCATTTAACCCCTTCGGTCCCACCCCAAAATAAAATGACTTGGTTTTGTCCGGCACCCTACACCTTATAACATCCATGTCGCACCTGTGGAACCTACTCGTGCAGTTCATCGATGGCAGCCAATGAATCTACCTCATCTAGCCAATCTGTGGCACTACTGAGCCCCCCCCCCTCCTTCTCCACAAACATCCAGTCCTCACTTCTGTGGGTCAACATTTTTTGACCACTTTTTGTTTGTCGTTCGGCTTCCAGGACTGACTATGAAATAGCATCACAATAGGTGTTCTTTATGAGAAACAATCCTTGAAAGTGTGAACTCTCTTTTTAGGGACAACACGTTCCTTCTCAGTTTTAGACGATATTACATCACATGTCTGAATGAAATAGGACTGTAAATGAGTCTCTAGTTGTACAGATTGCATGCCTTTCTGCCTAGAGGTTGTAAAACTAGACCGTTTTCCAGTCTAGGGTCTGTAATAGACTGCATAGAGTTTGGGTTTACTACGTTTCTTAGTAATAGGTACCTAAGGCAATGAGAGGAGATATTTGAGGAAGGATGATGGAATAGGAAAGTGCTAGAAGCTGTGAGACAATTATCTAAATGTGTCACACAAGACTTGCTATTTTGTTAAAATAGGAAATTGTCTTCATATTTAGGGGCTCCTTTTGGAGGTAGTTTGTTCACTCGTGCTGTCTGAAGTATGAAGGACAGTGTTTATTTGAAAGGTCCACGGTTATGATACTGTCGCTGTACAGATGTTGTGTGTGTGTATTTCTCTCTGGTGTGTAGAATGGCACCAGATGTTCGGAAGTGTGCATTCATCTCTCACTTTTACTCTGCTGTCACCTCTCTGCACTAGTGAATACCATTTTAGACGTGATTAAATGTGAATCATATTTATTTCTTCTTTTTAAGAATTTTTGTACATTTTTGGACTTGTTTTAATATAAATGTGGTGTACGTTTTTCTTTTTTTCTTTCTTGATGTTTCAAGCAGTTGTCTTTTACCTCGGTAGCATGGTGGCATTGAAAAAAGACCTGTGTTTAATTTTTAAGTGACGTTTACAAGTTCTTATCTGACTGATATAGATTATTTTGAAAAATGGAACGGAGTATTTTCTATACTGTACATTTCTTAGAAATAAATCTCTTTTCTTGAACAAGTCAGACTTATTGTCATCAATTTTTACTAATAGTCACATCACCAAAGCAGCAGATTACTGTATTCTCTGTTGTAACAGCTGTTCCTAGCACTACTGTGACCAAATACACATAAAACAATGCTGTGTCATTTAGGGAAAAAGGGGCATGAATCTATTATCCGTTAAAGAAACTGAGGCCAAAAGTAATGAAATGCAAACAGACAAAACAAGACGGCCAATGCAAGACAATGCATTAATCTATTGGAGCGCCTCACGCCATCGCCTTCAATTAGTGCTCTCCTCTTGACGGACACCCTCCACAGATTGTGATGCTGCTTTGTTTGAACCTACTCATGACTGCAGGAGTCAGTGAAGTGATGCGTTGCAGTGGAAGAGGAGGCAGCATGGCTCCTCAGGCTTCCTTCAAGGGACTACTTGGAAACGAAGTACATTATTTTGTTCAGGTCTTGGCAGTGGAAATTCAAATGAGGCATATAATTAAGAGACTTTAATTGAGTTAAGTAACCAGGTTGTTTAACTAAATTCTGAACATGCAAAAACAAGGCGATGTATAACAATAAACAATCTGCTTAGTGGCCATGTCCACCATCAGATGAATCTGTGTTTGATTTGGAAAAACAAAACAAATCACTGAAATCAGCTATCCTGTTTGAAATATTTAATAGATATGTTATGAAGTTTAATTCCACTAAAATCTCAATTGTATTATCTGCACCTCAATTTTGTGGAATGCTAAAAAAATATGTTAAAGTCACTGCTCAACAATATATTGTGCAAACTCACACACAGGTGTGTTGACAGAGGGAATGGGAAATTTGTATTTACTAATCTGTTTTGTTTATTATAAGGATCATAACCTCCATGATGCCGCTCCACCAATCAAAAATATTATCCAGGTTCAATTTCAGCCAATCATAACAGGACAGAGGCGGGACTTAAATGCACCCTGAACAAAAGCTTTGCCAATGCCTGACTAGCGAAACAAAAACACCAAATGTAATCAGACCCTACCGTAGCTTTAACGCAGTTAATTTACTGAATTGTTTTTGAACAGTGAAACTTTTATAATAAAGTAAGCTATTAGATAAAAGCAGATTTCTAACTGACACCGACGAGCAAGTTTTCCCGTGGTCCTCTCTTCTTAAAGTGACTGTGAACTGGACTGTTTACAAAACCGTCGACAGCTTTCGAGGCAGCTGCTAAGGTACCGTGTGTGCAGTATTCTTTAATATACAGTATTTTACAATCATAAGACTGTCACATGTCAAGTAAGTAACGTTAGCGGGTTTTCTTATGTCTGTTCAGCCTACTGAAAAAAACAAACAAGTAAAAACAGAGCTCTGCTTCGCAAAGTAATGCATTAAATGCATGAGTAAACCTAGCATTGTTAGCTTATTCTCACTTATTCTCACGTTAATTGTGTAACGTAAACGAGTCATACTCATTATCATCGCTTCTCTTTTCACTCGGTAACGTTTATATAGGGAAGTGCACATTTTGCCGAGGAACACACACCTGTTAGTTTTGTGGTGTGAGTGGTTGCAGGTTTTCTTTTACCCCAACTATTTAAAACACGTTTCCTCATGTTATTTGTTTTCTTTCTAAGCTCCACACACTCGCGGGACAATGGAAGTGTCGCTAAACCGCCGCCATGCGGTGGTTGTCTGCCTGCTCTTGTGCTGCCTGGCCAGCGGGCTGTCCTCCCCGGACCCTCGGCACAGAGAGGCCCTCATACAGCTGGAGGTCTCCATGCAGACAGGAGGGCAGGTGGTGCTGACTGATGCTGAGAAGCGGCTGGACGCTCTTCTCTTTAAAATGAAGCAGGAGGAGGTCTCAAGAGCAGACTTTCCTCCCGCCATGCACTTCTTCAGGGCCAGGGACGTCATCCGCACCAGTCCCATCTTCAAGCTGCTGCAGAAGATGCCTAAAGGTACATTCAGTGTCACACTTCAAAGTGTTTACAGAACATGTTCATTAACATGTTGCACTTATTTTTATTACTTGTGAGCTGTCGGTTATAATGCGTATCATTTTTAAAAAAATATTATCTCTTTACTTTCTTTTTCAATATTTTAGCTGTTATGGAGACAGTTTAGCTTTATGACATTGGTATGTTGAACTCTGAAAACTTTTATCAAAATGGAAAACTACCAATACAACTTACATGCGATACATTTGGTTTATTTTCGTATAAATCAAAAAATGATTTTATACAATTAAAGATTATTCTTCCTCTGAAATAACTGACTTGCACATTGCTTCCTGATTAGAGCTGAAACATGTTCTCTATTTATTTAAAATGATCCCCAAATGCCTAGTTAAACTTGTCAGTTGTGAATAATATATAACATATCTCACATTTTTCATAATAAAAGAAATATTGTTGAGTATTGAACTCTCATTTTTTTTTAAATAAAGTTTTCATGGTATGCACTTTGACTTTGGAATGGACATGTTTCCACAATTGCATGACATTACAGGCTAAATAAAGTAATCATTTAATCCAGACAATTGACCTTTCGCAAAGCCACGCCCCTAAATGCCCGTTGTCCAATCATATTCGATCACGTGCGCGGCTCCCTGTGGAAGTCCGACAAAGCTAGCGTTTCAAATTCTTGTCGAAAATAAGGTGGTAAGACGTTGTTGTCGTTATTGTCGTTTGTCAATACGAGTAGACAGATATCCACTAAGACTTAGTGGGGGGGGGGGTGATATTTTACCCGTTTCCTAAACCCAAAACCCGAGAGGAGAGATGCCGCCAGTGGATAAAGAAATGCGGCAGGCCCCATGCCCAGCTGAATATGGCGAATATCAACAAACACAAATACGTTTGCTCCAAGGTAAATACGTGCTAACGTAGCTAGCTAGCTAGCAAAGATTACATTCACAAATTAACTAACTAATTTAATTAACTAATTTCACTAACTAACGTTAGCTAAAGTCACACGACTACAGCTTTAAGCTGTGTGCTTCTAGGTCGTTTTGACCATGTATATCACTTGAATGTCTGAACAGCTGAGCTCCGTTATTAGTCTACCTGTGGTCAAAGTACAAACAAGAAAGCCAACAGGCAATCATTCATTTATATTTTGCTTTAATCTTTGTAGCATTTTGTTAATGGAAAGCCTACTGCCGACTTCCCTAATCCTGCTGCACAAGTGGGCACCCCGACCCCCACAAAGGAACAACAAGGTGGATGCAGAAAGCCACCAAGGAAACGGTAGTTAACTTTAGACAAACTACAACATTTAATGCCTCTTGTGATTGTATTGTTTTATTCCAAAATAATAATAATAATTCCGTCGAATTTGACATACAGCTCATGTGGTTTTTCACTCTTGCACTGCGACCTGTATGCAAGTGCCTCTATTGATGTTGTGCCTCCCTCTTTTCTAATGTTTATACTGTGGATATGAGCCTCCATAGCGTATTGTAACCCCTTTTGTTGGGACCTGGAGGATATTGCTGCGTTATTGCTCCAAAATGAGTCTGTTAAGGCGACTCCGACATTATGGCTTTGTTTAACGCATCTGGCTCTCAGCTTGTCGGACTAGCAACAGTAACCAAGGGGGGGCGTGGCTTTGCGAAAGGTCAATTGGTAGATAGGCTGTATTTACACCATAACGGGGTGCACAGCTGATATAAAGGGACACCTAGTGGTTAAAGCACTTTATTGAATTTTATTATTATTATTATTATTATTATTATTAACAGAATAAGAGACCTGGCAGGTGATGGTCAGACGTTGACCTGGCTGCACAGTCACAGAGGCTGGCTGTGTCAACTGTTCACACTTCACACCTGTAAAAAAAAAAAAAATATGGTATATGAAGGATTATCCTGTTAAACAGCGCTATAAAGTATGTTGTAAGTGTTGACTCGTGCAGAGAGAGACTCACTTCCAGCTGCCAGCCGCAACAGAGCTACAGAGAACATGATGATGATGATGATGATGATGATGATGATGATGANCAACACATTGTAGGTGACTTCCTAAGGGGCGTGACATCTCTAAGTGGTTGACCAATCACAACACAGCCGGCGAGCTAACAAATCAGAGCAGACTGGGCTCTGGTTTCAGACAGAGGGTGAAAAGAGGTGCTGCAGCACAGGCAGAATGAGAAAAATAAAGACCTTGAGCCCAGTCTGCTCTGATTTGTTAGCTCGCCGGCTGTGTTGTGATTGGTCAACCACTTAGAGATGTCACGCCCCTTAGGAAGTCACCTACAATGTGTTGAAGCGCAAGTCGATGGAAGTGTGAGTGTTACTGAGTGATGTCACTATGTTACAGAGGTAAACAAGGAGTCCAATGGAGGCGTTTCAGGAGGGGACGGGGGGAGGGAAAACCCCAAAAACATGATAGGTTCTCTTTCAGATTAAGTTAGAAAGATAGTCCCACCATCGCTACACTCAGTATATTAGCTTTGTTAGAAAGAAAGACTACACAAAACACAAAATCACGTCAGGTCAGCTTTGCAAGAATAGGATGCAAAAATAAATGAGCTTTCTTAAATTTTTAACACTGAAACATCTACGACTGTCGGATTTGCGGTTATTCATCACTATAACACTCTTGTCAGTAGCAAATACACTGTACCCAGACACTATCTAAAAGAAGACATTATGTGCTGCTGTAATGGAGACTAATGACAGCCGTGTCTCTTCGGTGTCTAACCTTGTGCTCGATCATGCTGCTGATCTCAGGCAGGAAGTTCTGGCTGATGACACGGTAGAGATGGCGGTCCTGTGGGGAGGTTTTGTCCTTGATGCTTTCTGCCAGACCGACCCATTGTTCCTCTGTATCACACACAAGGGACCAGGCGCCTCTCTTACGGCCTGGTGGAAGCAGAGGAGAGAGACATTGGCTTATTGATTTGAGGGAGAATGTATAGAGACATTCAGTGAAAGTCAAAATGGAATAAAGCTCACAGATATCTTTGATGTAGTAAACATGAAAATGAAGTTGCTTTTAATAAGATCCTTTCACCTGCGCTTGGACGGAGATCATCCAGACCATTTTCAGTATTTTCTTCCTTCACTTCTGTCTCTTCGGTCACTTCTGACACTTCACTCTCCACATCACTGAAAATGTAAAAAAACAAACATTGAAGAATAATAGAAACCACAATTATTTTGGATGAATCCGATTGCTTATAACTACTACATCTTCAGCTGGTTTTATTCCTAATACAACAACTATTAACACCCTGTTATTGCACCCATATTACATATAAATACAGCCCTATTACACCGGTTATACACCCGTTTTATTACACTGTTATACATTTTAACTGTTACTCACATTGACACAGCCTGTCAAATGACTATCACCCAGGATATAGAAACCATTTTCAGGTTAACTTAAAGCCAACTGTGCAGTATACAGTAGCAAGGTGGACAGGGTACATTTAGAATGACAAATAATACAATTATGACTGCTCTGATGTATATATATCCATGAACATTATGCTGTTCCAAAAGAGTCTATTAAAATTAGGGGTGCACCGAATGGGAAATTCTTGACCGAAACCGATACCGAAAATAGGAAACAGTTGGCCGAAAACCGAATGCCGAAAGGCCGAAAATGATTAATAGAAATATATATATATATATAATATAATGTATACATTTTTTACCAATGTTGTTCAGCTTCCTGATTATGGAAAAAGACATGATTATGGCAAAACTTAAATAATAATCACTATTATGGGTCCATAAAACATTTATTCAGCACTTTTGAATGCATCCAGTACATCTGACCTTTCTAGAGGGTGTGTAACTGCAAAGACTTTCACCACTTCGGGATTACTCCACCACTTGAAATCAAAACACCCGGACAAATATGCGGAGTATGATCAACGTAACCTGTTCTCTGACATTCGGTGATATGAAAGCCGAAAGGGCCTTTTTAACCATTTTCGGCCGATAATTTTCGGTGGCCGAATATTCGGTGCATCCCTAATTAAAATACAAGTTGTCGACACCTGGTATTTATCATATTTTACTATTCGGATTTAGCAGTTGACTTCAGATCAGGCAACAACTGACTTAGAGGAAGGGTAATAATAACACTATTCTTAAAAACCCAGATTGTATATTGTTTTCTACAGCTATGCTTCTTTTTTATTATCCCTCTCTATTATCTCTGCACACAAAGACCATGTGGTGAACAGGCACAGCATCTGCTCTGACAGTTAAATGCAGCTTTTCTTTTGACACGAGCAGTACATCTGTGCAACACATGGCTAAATGCACATGTGATGGCTTCTCCGCTATACACCGTTGGCACCGACAACAAATACAAATGTTTTTCTCACCTTAGCGGGGAGTCCTCCAGTTTTTTCTTCTTTGGTGGTCTTCCCCTTCTTTTTCTCTCTGGTAATGTCAGCTCAGCGCTTTCACTGTTGGGAAAAACAGCGTGATGTAGAAAATAAGTCTTAGCAATTATAGCCTGTTAACGGGGGTAATTAGCAATGGGAGACCTCTATAATTAACCCTCAACAGGCCTGTAAACCAGGGTCAAACTACTGCAATTACACACTTAGCACATGCGCTAGTTAACCACAGAAAGCCTGACCAGGAACATAACATTAATTCTTGGTGTAAAGGACGGGGAATGGAGACGTGCAATTCCTAGAAATATTGACCTGATCCTCTGCGCTTTCCTCTTGACGGGCTCCTCTTTGTACATTCTGGTGCCGTAGAAGTACCAGTAGAGGGCTCCATCTCCCCCCTGGCCCAGAGGCTCCACTCGCAGGCTGTCTGCATCCAGTCCCTGGTGGGGGAAGGTGGGGACAGGACATTTCTTAAATCATGTGTAGGACTGTCTTTTTAAATCCTAAGTCATTAGAGGGTGATGTCATTTAGTCCCTTGAGCCTACACCGCTGTGAATCATAAAGCGCTTTCTGAGTGCATTCATAAATTATACCTGCTAAATTATTTCCGATAATCTGATTTCATGGGATATCAGAGGGAAATGATAAACTGACACACAGCATGGAGGTTTAAAGGTATATTATAAGTTGCATTTTATTTAATTCAAGAATATATGTTAAGCTGCTGCTCTTTGTCAGGTGCTATTAAAAGGTACATTACTGTGATTTGAGTTAGACTGCAAGCATTCCCTTACAAATGTAAGTGCGAATGTAAAGGGAAATCGTACGGCTCCAATTAGTGTCACAATAAAAACACTCCAGTGTAAATAAATGAATTAAAGAATAAAAATGGGTGGTTCAACTTCATGTTTTGTGCTCAGGTGCTTCAAAAAGCATCAGGTTAAAAAAAAAAACTGATTCCATATACACACAGTATCAATAGAACCCACTTCTATTTATCGGGTGAAATGCTTGCCAGGCTTCACACATTAACTAACATGGCTTCACTGTTTTTTGCAACACATGAGTCAACATTATTATTGCAGACAACCACATGGCTTGGATTTCAATCCAGTCACAAAAGATAGAACCTCAAACCTGAGTACAACGCATAAAAACCATTCATGCATGGAAACAAATATGTCCTGGGAGTTTGATCTGATCCTCGGTGACGTGTACCTTAAGCAGGTCGAAGACGTCAGCAGCATCCAGGCGGTAGTCACACAGCCGGTGCAGCAGTTGCACCTGAGTGCGGGGAGGCAGATCCTCGAAGGGGCCCTCTCGGAGGGGGTTAGGCTTCCCTTCTTCCAGCTCCCATCGGTAGCTGATGATGTCGTCCAGGTAACTGCTAAATGCCCGGGGGCTGAAGGGCAGAACAACAGAAGAAAGGAGAGGCAGAGTGTAAGAGAGACAGGTGCTACATGTTGCTCCAGACATGGTACATTGTTTTCAAAACCAATATTGACCGTTTATTTGGTCATACATGGCTTTCCTCAGAAATATTGATTTTAAAAAATGTCACTTATTATCCCAATAATCAGGGCTTTTCTGCGGTCGTTTCCATTTTGACAGATTTTTCTTTGCATAACTTGTATAATTAACCATTCTGGTACAAAATCCCTTTTGTATTTCCCTGAATCACTGATCTTTGAATGTATTGCTGGTATACAGGGTTGTGGAGCGGTACCTTGTGTACTGAGAGGGTCTCAGGTAAAGACTATGTGGGTCAGGTATAGGTCTTGTGCCTTCGTTATGTGTGATTTTGGTCTTGGGGTTTGTTTTGAAGCAATTGTTGTCTTCTCCGTTTGTTTGATAACTGATGATAAATTATATTTAGGTAGTGTTATTCACTGTAAAGTTAACTCATTATAACCATGACATCTGATTATAGTAGGAATTTAGTTTTCATTAGGTAAAGCGCCTACAATTGTTAATACATTTATGTTTTTCACAGTAAACTTCATTAATCTTCTAATCTGAATGTTGTGACTTTTAACACATTTTGACTGGATCATTAAGTTTTAAGGAACATCATTATTTGTTAACTACATATTCAGATGGGTATGACAATTATTTAAACAAATAATAAAAAGAAAACCAGACTAAGGTTTTCTTGGTCAATTAAGATCTGTCAGTATGGATAAGTGCAAGCAATTCAATTGCAAATGCTGTATGCAGATTGAAAGGCAAACACACAACGTCTCAATATCAACTAGCGTCCTTTTGTGATGCTTAGCTTTGGAAACAAACAAAGTTCAAACTACCCAAGGGGCTGGTGTGACAGAGGAGGTGGGGCTGGATAGAAAAAAGACAATTTTCTCTGAATGGGAGTGGGGTTGTATCTCTGCTATGAGTGGGAGCCGGTAAATAAACGTTGGTTCCGGTTCAGGTCTCGCCGATTAATCTGTACCTTTCAGTTCCAACTCAGAAGAACAGAACAAGGGCTCGGGGCAGGGGTGAGCATCTATGCAACGGCGCGGAGAAAGAGGGCCAGGGAAAAAATGGCTTATCTTGAAAGAGCAGTGTGCACTTTTCACACAGCTGCAGCTCCAGCTCCAACACCCCCCCCCCTCCTCAACTGCCCCATCTCGCTCCTACTTTCTGTCCCTCGTTCTCCCCAACATCCTCCCTCCCCACCGCCCCTTTCCCCCGCTCCGGCAGAGCGTTTAACACGTGCGGATGAAAAGGGAAGCTCTGTGAAAGGCCAGTGCTGAGCAGCCACCCCCAGGATGCCAGCGCCTGTCCAGTCCAATAAAGCAGGTTGTCCTCCTGTTACCGGTTGCTGGGGTGGAAAAACTGGATCATTCCTGCGTCTCTGCTTATCGGCTCACTGGTACCCACTATGATTCCTTGTAATAATGGCATACAATAGGTGTATGAAGGGGAAAGCCCCATGAGAAATGTAACGTATTTGTAGATTTGAGAAAAATCCTCTGATACGTACTAACTTTCTCCCATCATTCGTTCACAGAGGATGGGGAAGTTTCAGTGGTTTCATTTATTGCTGTATTACAACAGCATGATTTCATCACACAGACTTGAAGTCACCATATGGTGAGTACATTTTGACTCCTCAGCGAGCCATTGTTCCGGTGACTCACTTCCTCTTATGGCTCTTGGGTGTGATGACTAATTTGAGGTAGTTGGAAATACGGCTTTATCTTGGCAGCTACATGTCAAGTTGGAAAACATGTGAATTGATTATTTTCCACTGTTAACCAAAGAAACCAACACAAAGGTTTCATAACAGTATAATATTGGCATCTAATCACAACACTGAATAATTCTCAGCATGGTGGAAGGAAACACTAAATGCTTGAATCTGGCTTTATTGGGCTTGCACCACATTTCCTCATTGTACCAAGAGCAGGTCTTGACAAGAAACACAGGTATGTTTATATTGAAATGTGAACCTTGTCCACCTCTGTACCACAAGCCTTCAGTGTCATTAAAACGGTCAATGTACACAGGGTTTCATGTTTACCACAACTTCTAATTCTCTTTCCCAACTGTATCCATCAGTTGTGAATCCCATTGCACAAAAGTAACTTGAGCTTCAGTGACATTCATTTCAACAGCCTTTTTTCTAGTAAACACGATTCCTTTCTCATTCTACACTTACGTGATGTCAGTGCGCTGGTAGCATCCCTGCAACAGACAAGCGATGAGGTCCCCAAGGAAGTCCAAGTCCTGCTCGGATAGGGCTTTCTCCAGCTCCTGGATGAACAAAGGACAAAGCAGGGTCAGTGCACACGTACAGCAGGTACTTTTGCCAAACAGACCAGAGATATGAGAACAAATGTACGGGTAAAACATTACGAAAGATTGCGGCACTTTCGTGAGTTTCAAAGGATGACTCAAAAGGTATTATGAGCAAAACACAGGTTTCTTGACATAAACAACATTGTATTCAAATGGATGAGAAAAGAAAAGGCGATATCTCAGATGCATCAAGGGAATAAGACATTGTAATAGGTAGTTTTAGCATTTGCATGTGACAGCATAAGGTACGCTGGCAGAGGCGGACAGCAGGAGGGTTGCCTGGAATTTGGCCAGTCTTCTTATTAAGGCTTCTTGGTTTTGCCAGCGGTTGTTTGGCTGGAGCCGAGGTTCAAGTTCAGCCATGACCCCTCTCCTGCCTGGCATTGTGTTTCAGCCATTCAGGTTTTATGAAGCGGCAGTAACCGGCAGAGCAAACTCTAAAAGGCCTGAAAGCACCAAGGGGAGATGGGAGGCAGCAGGGGCCTAGAGCCACAGCACAACCCTGACCCCCCCACCCCCCTCCTCTGCTTTGGTGACCAACCGACCCACAGTTTCCCATCATACACTGCTCTCCCTTATGATACCCAAAAGCTGTGGAGTAGAACAGGAGGAGAGAGACTGATGGAACACGATGCTGAGAGGAGGTATGCAAATGTGAAGTGCTCCGTCAGCGTCAAGTGTCCATTTCACTTAAAGCCCCTTTTTTTGCAGGATGCAAACAAGCCCCTTCAGACGGAAGGCCGAAATACTGTTGAGGAAAAGAACATATCTGCCTGCAGCTGAACACTCTTTACTTCGTTTTTTAGTCCATAACCGGAAGAGGCCAAAAGATGTTCAGATCTTTCCTCCCTTACTTGTTTCAGAAATGTTTAGGTAGGTTGTTTTCAAATTGCTAGAAATGTTCGTACCACAACCTGACTTTTCTTTCAAGAAGGAGAAGAAGCACACTTTCTGCGTCCAGTTATTTTTCTATCAGAGTATTCTTCGAGGTTAAGAAGAAGACATATTGCTTTAGAGTTTATGAAAAGTGTCTTAGTGTCTCAGACTAGCAACAGACCCTCACCCCTATATACACCCACAAAAGTATCCTGCTGGTTCAAGAGGTAAAAAAAAAATGGTCCAAATTCATCTCAAGGACGAGGAGGCACGTAATTATCATCTCTTCTCAGTCTGCTTCTCGCTAAAGGAACCTGGGTGAGCTCAGGGTTCAACAAAGGTCGGCGTACACACCTCCCGGCCATGAAGTACGACGGAAGCCAGGAGCCAACAAATCAGCGCGGTGAAAAACAGAGGAGGAGGAGGAGGAGGAGGGGAGAGGCAGAAAGGAGGTTGAGTAAGAAGTTGAAAAACAGGATAAGATTGATCTGTCTTCTTGAGGTCGGAAAAGAAAAGAGTTTAAGGGAAACCTCAGCAGCCTGCTTCTGACTGAAGCTACTACAGAAACCTGCCAGAGATTGAGTTTTATGATAGGAGATTAAAAAAAAATCAGCTAGGTCTCGTGACTCGAAGGTAAACACTTCATTAAGTTTGATGAGCACATTCTAATGACCAATTTCAGAGAGTACAGATCAACGCGCTCACAGTGGCAAATGAGTCAGATTTGAATGGATTAAGAGCAATTCAATACTAAGACATATGCAAGAGGACCTATAGTTACGGTTTGGAGGTTGATCGAGTTTCATCAAGCCTACATAAAAGGGCTCTGACAACAAAGAGACTGATTCAATCTTTAAACAGTTGCTCAAGCAAGCGCGTATGTCATGGCTTGTTCACATGTATGAGCCGCATAACTATGTCGTAGCCTGTGATCATGAGAGGATAGCAAGATACTGTGTGTTTATCTGTGAACAGAAGCCCATGTGCAAAGGACGGCAAGAGATCCTGTGCACGCTGCCTTCCACTTCCTGGTCCTCTGTCAGGCAGCCTCTGGGCCTCTGAGCCCATCCATCAGAGACACACTGCACTTTGATCACACTTTAGGGAAAAAAAGCTGGGTGCCGGGGAAGAGTACAGCAGAGTGGAGGGCTCGCTTCAGCCCGTGGATTAACACCACCGTGCTCCACCTTTGAAGTGCCACGCTGCATCTCAGATGGCAGAGGGAAGGGAATTTCATGTGCTGTGCGTGCCCTTTCTTCAGCCATCTATCCGGGGCGGCCGATCCCTCCGTGGCCCCCGCGCTAACAACCACTCGTCTTGACGTGTCCAGTGGGAACCTTTCCCCGCTATCAGCACATACAAGTATAAGGTCCAAACTAATGCACTACAAGGACAAAACAAACATGGACAAAATATATAAAAAACCCACTTTACCTACATTCAAGCACGTGTCTAAACAGAATAAACAGTGTAGTACTTTGCCTGCTCCACATTAATGATCAATGGGACTCACAGATAAGCGTGCTGGATAGGTGATTAGCTCTAAGGTTTATAACTCATAGAGCTCAAGTGTCAGATTTATCACTGAGCTGCTGCCGCGAACAAAACAGGCTACTCGTATTCAGACACACACACGGGACAAAGATTGGAGTCAAGGCTTGTCAGAAAGGTGTGTCATCACAACAGCTTCTCTATAAGGCTGGTTTGCAATCAGCAATTTACCCTGAAGGTATTTACCACTTCTCTCACCTGACTCCCCCGCTGTTTCTCTCTCTCTGCCTTAACCTCTTATTCCTCTCTTTCACACCATTTTCCTCCCCCTGTCTTGCGGCACAGTGTCCATGAGGGCCTCTGAGGCATTCTATTATTCCCCTGACAACACCCTTGCTCCTCTCTCCTGCCCACTCTTTTCCTCTCTCCGCATTGCTTATCTGTCCTCTCCCTCCACACATTGTCCACGCACCAGCCAGTTGCTTGCTCCACTGTTGCAGAGGACAGTGAGGACGGTTATGATAGGCAGTGATTGTCCTAAAAATATAAATTGCCACACTGGAAATAATTGTTTGAGGCACCGTCACACCTAGCCATCTTTTCAAAGAATGTTAAAAAGTGTGAGAAGTAACACCTGTGGTGTCGACACAGCTTGCCACTTGTCATGTTCTCTCACAAGAAGTCATCACACCTTATATACTATCACTGACATTAACTGGAGAAATTGCCTTAATTTTCCTGGCAAAGGAAGCAGCTTCTGTCTCACATACTTGTAATTCCTATGTGGAAATTCACACACACACACACACCACAGATACCACTTATTCCCCTTGTTGTTCAATTACATACATGATACTTTTGTCCAAAAAGCATGCTGGATTTATATCTGAGTAAGCTGAACAGTGATGGCAGTGACCATTGAAGAAATATCTTCAAATGGCAGTCTTGTGGTAAGATTGAGAACAACTGATGCCAAAAAACATGGCAGCTAAGGCCCCGTCCAAACGGAGAGGAAATGGGTGTTATCAGCTATAGTTCTTTATCGTATGGACGGCTCGTCCACACGAGGCTGTAACGGAGCCGCTCAAACGGAGCCCTCAAACGATAACACATCCCAAAGTGGGAAAGTCTGGTAACGTAACGATTGCGGCACCGTGTGTACGCCCTAAATGATCATAGGCCCGCCTCTCCCCACCTCTCCTGCTCACCCCCGCGTCACCCGCGTCATTGCTGATGTGTTTCGCCAACACAATAGCGGATCAGAGGGTTGCGTTCGTGCTCCAGACGCTACTGACCATGCTACAGATGTTAGTGCAAAATCTACAGCTCCTCTACCACAACCATCAGCAACAAGTGGACATGGAGAACTACATGAACTACATGCTAAATCCACCGCGGAGAATAAACAGAAGGGCAACCAGGCAACCACACTCGAGAGGTCTCATTCGCTGCTTTTGGTGTATTTTGTGGCGGAAGTACAGCGCCACTTATATAGTGGCATATGTACTACAGCGTCTCCAGCGGGTCGAGAGGTCTCGTGTGGACTGACACGTTTCTTGAGCCGATTCCGTGTGGACGGAATACTTTTTAGATATCGACCTTGGTTAGTTTTCATCTCCGCGTATTAATAATAAATACATTATATCATGTGCCTTTAGGTGCTAAGGAAACTGAAACATCAACTGCAACTAATCTTCTCCCCCCCGCATATGAACCCCAAAATAATCATGATTAAGATACTTGGCTCAGGCCTCCACCTCACACATAACAGCCTTACCGTGTCCTTTCAGGTAACTGATTCAGGTTCTGTGAGCTGCGTCCTATCTGAATGGGTTGATGCATGTCAATAAAACCTCAATTACAACCCTCACATGCTTGCATCTTAGATAGATTTTCTCTGCTGAAGGTGATGAGGTAATGGGTGACGGCTATTTCATAAAAGTAAACCCAACATGGGTAGAACGTGCATAGAGTAATACATATCTGCTGTTTAAACGTACTTAATGGAGTATGTATGGCATCTTTGGGCCATCCAGTTCACCCTCTACCCAGCCTGCTACTGACGGGATCCATTTAAAGAAAACAGGATAAGATTCGGCTAATGAAATGATGATATTGTCATGCGTTTCTTGTGAAGCATAAAAAGACCAGGCTACACCTGGATTTCATTGCGCAACCGTTTGTTACGGAATGAAAATAAATTATCCTTGAATCCTTAATGATGCCAGGATGAGTCTTCACTAGGAAGTAACTCAAGGTTTCTGTTTGACAAGACAACAAGGATGGTAAAGATTACGAGACATGACACATGAATCAACGGGGGAACAGAGAGGAGCAGACTTTTGTAAAAGCAAGGAGACATCAAGGCTAAACTGACTTCAAGGCACCATCTGCATTCGCCGATAAAAGTGAAACAGGCTTCTCTTACTGGGCACCACCGTGTGTCCCATTCATATCAGTAGAGAGAGAAAAACTGAGATAAAATGCATGTATGCGTGCCTGGCTGATATAAGTAGTAAAAGAGATATAGAGACGGGATGGTGATAAGTACTGCAGCAGCACATGTATCAGCGGCTCCAAGGTTGTGT